AAAATTTTTCAGGGGAAGGCATACAAGGACAAGCCTATTAGCATCACATAAATTTTTTTTTTTTTTTTTTTTAATGGTACCAGGGATTGACAGGTCCTTGCGCTTACAAGGCAGGCCACTGCACATAAAAATATTGAATAGTCTGTTGAAGATGCAACTTCACTTTGTTTCCCAGGGAGAGGTTCAGGCAATAGCTCTAAGTATGAGAATCTTCAGCATATAAATAGCCTTCAAGGTCATGATTGTATGTGATCACTGAGTGAATCAGTGCAGACTGTAAAGAGAAGCCATCCAGGACCTGAGCCCTAGGCATACTGGTATTAAGGAGAGGGTTCAGTTAGAATCCCCTAACGAGACTGAAAAGGAAGGGGCAGTGAAACAGGAGGAAAACAAGGAGAATGAGGTATCCTGGAAGCCAATTGAAACAATGTTCGCAGAAGAAGGAGGTGATGGACTCAGTCATGATAGCCATAAGTACTATGAATGCTGAAAACTGACATTGCGTTCTACAATGTGATGGCCATTCTGTGGCCTTGCCAAGAGCAGTCAGTGAAGAGAGAAGGGCAAAAGGAGAGGAACTGGAGTCAAGGAGCAAAGGGAACAATTGCTGCACGTAATTTAACAGTTGTATTTAAATAGCAAATACAACTAGGTGTTTTAAATGAATATAATTAAAAGTTTTGTAAAACCAGCTAGTGTTTCACAGATGCTAAACACAAAAATGAATATATTTTAGGTGTGTCAATTGCAGACTTGTGATATTCCTGTGTAAAACAACAAACTATCAAGTCAAGTTCCTCTCTGTGCCTAATTTAAGGTTTTAGCATTGTTTTAAAAAGTGTGTTATTTTCTACTTATTGAATTGGTCCTAAGAGTTATTTTTTAGAATACTTTGATAAATTTTTCTAGTACTGGACTATGCTTTCATTCTTAGAAGATATCCTACTTGGTTACATAGGGTTTTATTATTACTAGTTTTATTTTGTGTTTCTTAAAAATAATAGGTTTGTTACATTTTATTTTAGATTGATTGCTTTTTTAATAATTTTATTTCCTTTGTAAATATAAATAAAATTCAAAATTATTTTAAACATAAAAGCTACAACTATAAAACTTCTAGAATAAATCTGAGGAGGGAAGAAAGCTCCACAACATTGGTATTAGTAATAATTTCTGGATTGAAACCAGAAGTGCAAGGAACAAAAGCAAAATAAACATCTGAGAAATATTTAAATGTTTCTTGAAATGTAAAGGAAACAATCAGCTAAATGAAAATGTAGCCCATAGAATAAGAGAAAAAATATATACATACACATATATGTTATATATAAAGAATAACCCCATACAGTGATAAGCAGTTAATATTCAAGGTATATGTGAAACTCATAAACTCCATCAACAAAAAATAAATTACCTGATGAAAATATGAGCAAAAGATTTGTGTACTATTACAGTTTATTCACACCAGAGAAATTATTCAGTAGGAAAACCCATTAGATTGATTGCTTTTTAATTGTCATATGTGGCCATTGTTCAGTTTTGGAGCCATGTTGAATACATGTACCTCTTCCTATTTTCTTAAATAGTTCGTTTATGAAAAGATTGGCTCTTCCTTGAAAACCCAGAGAAGCTATTTTTGAAAGAATAAGACAATTAGTTTCTGATTCAATTTCTTCAATAGTTATTAGCCAAGATAGCTTTTTTTATTTCTTGAGTCAGTTTTGGTAATTTTCTTGTCTGGGAAATTACTGTCTCATCCATTGTTATAAATATGTTGATACCAAGAAGCTTAAAATGATCTTTTTAAAAAACTATTATAATTGTAGTTATACTACCTTGATATCCCTAATATTCTGTCTTTTCTTGATCCATTTTGCTATAGTCTTTTGTAAGTTTCTGAAAAGAACCAACTTTTTACGTTATTCTCTATTTATTACTAACTTCATTGAAACATTTTTATTTGCTTTGGTTTCCTTTGGATTTATTCCTTAAATTAAAACATTTCATATTGCGTTACATCAAGAAATACAATGTAAACTTGTCCCACTATTAATGGCTAAGTTTGATCATTTTGGTTAAAGCACTAACTGCTATTTTATACTTCTTTGGATTTTAATTGTTAATGTACTATAAGTGTATAATTTTTTCATGTATAATTACAGTGTCTGGGCATAGTCGTACATGCCTGTAATCCTAGCACTTGGAAGGCTGAGGCAGGAGAATTGCCTTGAGTTTAAGACCAGGCTGAGCTACATAGTGAGCTCTAGGCCATCCTGATCTACACAGCAAGACTCTGTCTCAAAAAAAAGTGTAACTTTTGATGCTCAAAGTATCCCAAATGTGGCTAGTGGCTACTCTTTCAAACTGCTCTTTGTGTCTGTTGGCATTTCTCCATTAATCTTTGAGCACTTCCTTTCTGGTATAAGATTTCTGCAAGCCTACTTTGTACTCTTTCTGTGCCACACTTGGTGTTAGTGATGTATTAATGGCACTGTCTCAGCTAAAAGGCTGTCCAGTATCTTTCTGCTTTACCATATTTTCTCTTTCGAGTTCAATATGTTTATTATCATAAAATTACATGTTCTGTTCGTCTGTTTTAGAACAGCTTTCATTGTTACAAATGGTGTGCCATTTGGAAAAATAGAAAGAAATGCCATTTTTTGCCACTAATACTGTGAAATTATACATATGACCTTCCTAAATTTCTTTAAGGCAGTCAGAAATACTGTTGCTTTCAGAGTTATTTTGGTTCCAGTAAGCTCAGTGTCCTTGGATTTATGACACAGAAAAGAAGTAAACCCAAGAGAACCATTATTGAGCCCCAGCTCTTTTGCCTTTAGCTCTGTGTTGGCCATGGTCCTCAGTAAGAATGGGTCTTTCTTTTTTTTTTTTTTTTTTTTTTTGGTACCAGGGATCGAACTTGGGCTCTTGTGCTTGTGAGGCAGGCTGCAGAACCACTGAGCTAAATCATGAACAAGAATGGGTCTTTCAAAGTGGCAGAGCTTAGCTCTGTGGCCGGGGATGTGCTAGAAGCTGCAGGGGAGCCACTGTATAGGTGACCTGCCTCTCCTTCACAAGTACTAGTGATGATTACAAAACAGGAAAGCCTGTACTTGGAAATATAGACACTTTCTATTGCTGTTATAGTTTCAAGATTGATTCCTGATAAATCAGTCTTCCAATTCATAATTTAATATTTATTTTGGATGATAATAGGAATTATGGATGTAGATATTTTGCCTCTATAAAAATCAACCATAAGTATTACAGAAATGATCTTAAAAATGAAAGCTAAACATGCCAGCCTTTGAAGCTTCTGAACTTCAAATAATTACTTTAAAAATTAACCATATGAGCTGGGCATGGTACTACACACCTGTAATCCCAACAGTCTAGACAGCTGAGGCTGGAGGATAAGTTCAAGGCCAGCTTGGGCAACTTCGCAAGACACTGCCTCATAATAAATCTTATAGAAGGGCTGGGTATGTATCGCAGTGTGAAGGTCCTGGGTTCAATCCCCAATTCTGGGAAAACATTATGTTTTTAACTGCATGATTGGAAGTAAAGACTGGATATTTGAGGCTATCATTAACATCCATTATTACTAACTTGAATCTGGTCCAAATAGTTAAATAATAATTATAAAAGGAAATAAAATAATAAAAGGAAAAATTATGAAAATTACTATTTTCCATTTAATCCATTTTGATGGCTCCTGTTATTCATATGCTTAAGATTGTAAACTCTTTGTAACAAACTATATTTATCAATTACGTTCTCTCCAGTGTAAAGTATCACAGATGCACTTGTGCAGTAGATATCTACCAGTTGTCCAAGTTCCTTACAAAAGGCTCAGTTCCCTATCTAGCATAAATCACTGTACAGTTGTCATCTTTTGGCAGAAAGCTTGACTAGAATTGTTTTGCTTAAATAAGGCAAAACCAAGAGCTGGGGTTGTAGCTCAGTGGTACAGCTCCTGCCTAGCAAGGGTAAGACCCTGAGTTCAACTTCGTTACCCCCACCCCAAAAAAGGCAAACCACTGGAATATTGAATTAGTGAACACTCATCTTTTAGGTTTTCCTTATACAAATTTCAGTGATTTATGTAGAAATCAGCGAAAGCTCTTCTCTCCCAACAAGATACAGTATTAATTTACTTTCTTTTATATCTTTATCCGTCTTAATTAATTTTCCTTTTCACTTTTTTATAAGTGAATTTTTTTTCCTCAAAAGGAAGATTTATACGGTATAATTTCATTGTGCAATCTGATGAAAGAGTTCTGTTTTGGTGGTTATCCCCACAGTTGAAGAAAATTTAATAAACTAAGATACTTTTAGCTGGGGATTTAGCTCAGTGGTTCTGCTGCCTGCCTCGCAAGCACAAAGACCTGAGTTCAATCCCCAGTACCAAAAAAAAAAAAAAGTAGGATATTTTTTATCATAACTCTGACTGTGAATAAAATAATAGTATCTGTTAGTAAAGATTATGTATTCCCTCCCTTTGCTATTTCCCTCCTTTTCAAACCAATTTCTGTACTTATAAAATTCAGTAGGCTTTTTTTAACCTCTTGTTTATGACTATAGAATATTTAGAATCCTACAGAAGAAATTTCCTCAAGTCTGTATAACTCTCTCTCATAATATTTTTTGGACATTCTCCAGATCATGTTAGTACTTCTGTATCTTAAGGACTTATCCCCTTGAAATAACAGTAAAATCATCAAGTGTCTACCTCATTTTCTTTGTTTACATTTTTTAATGAAAAAGAGATCATTTCATTGATGAGCTTAGGAAACAATGTTTAAGCCAGACATGGTAATATATATGCTTGTTCAAGTTGTTTAGGAGGCCAAGACAGGAAGATTGTGAATTCCAGGCCAGCCTAGACAACATACTAAGATCCCACCTAAAACAAAAAAAGGAAGAATTCTCTATTAAAAAACAAAGACTTTTTTGCCCTAGTTTAAAATTTTTCATTGTAACAACAAAACTTTTTCTAGGATCTTCTGCCTATTAAACAAGAAAACGAAAAATCCCTTTCAGAAAACATGGATGCATTTGAAAAAGTGAGAACAAAATTAGAAACACAACCACAAGAAGAATATGAAATCATCAATGCAGAGGTAGGATATATCATACTGTTGTGTTTTTTTTTCTTTTAAGAAAAATCTCATGAGCAGTTAAGATGTAAATGAGGTACCTTATGCTTTATAAACATAATCTCATGTCAAACTTCTGCATTTGACCTTTAAAATATGCTGAAAACTTTAGCAAAGAATAAATGCAGTATGATCCTTAAAATAAATTTAATGATTAAGAATTTCAAAGTGTGATAAATTAGTTTTGACTTTAAGAAACATCCAGTTCTGTTTTTAAAATTTTGAAAGACTTCAAGAAGTTCAAATGAAACCAATCGCTAGTGCTACCTTTATTTAAATAGTGCTTGTTCTGTCCACATTTTTTAAATAAAAAGATATTCACATTAGTATAATATCATTAAAGCTAAATATGTTCAGTCATTCAACTGAAATAGATTGAACAAACAGTTCAAAACTTTTCAGTGTGATTGGGAAACAGAATCATAGATTATAAATGAAAATCATGAAAGCCAGATATGGTGGCACATACCTATAATTCCAGCACTCGGGAAGCTGAGGCAGGAGGATCACCACAAATTTAAGGCCGCCTTGGGATACATAATGAGTTCAAGTCCAGCCTGAACTGCACAGCAAAACGATGCTTCAAAAAAAAAAACGAAAATCATGCGTGCGTGTGGTAGAATGAAAATAACGGTAGTAATTCTAGATTCAAATTATGCTGCTGCCTAATAGTAATTGTGATGCAAGCCATCTGAAGTCAATCACTTAATGTTTAGCTGTTAGACAAGAACACTATTCATATATTGGTAGTGTTTGTTTTCTCAATCTCACAGAGGGTAATATATTTTGTGTAAAACTGAGTCAAAACTATGCACAAATATTGATGACAGCATATTTTAAAGAAAAGAATCTCAGAAAGTTGACTGCTTTTTTAACCTAGTCTAAGCCAGTTGTCTCATCTGCCTCATTTTAGATTTGTGAAATACAGAAGCCACTTAATTTCTTTGCATTGAACTCCACTATACAGATATGTGCTCAAAATATAGCTAAAATGACTTATACCATCATAAGAACCAGCACTCATTTTGTTAAACCTCTTGCCTTTATGCACTAGAAACCCCTTAGGAACCTCTAAGTGCTTCAGAACACAGGAAAATCATACCTTACCAATTGCATTATAAAAATTGGTCCACTTTATTTCTTTATCTGTTATTCAGATATTTCTCCAGATCTGCTTTTTATAACCTCTTATTCTTCATCTTGAATAGCCAGATGACTAAAATGTTAAATTATCATTAAGCAGACTGTTTCTTTTGATCATCAGGTTAAACATGGTGGCTTTGTTTATTATCAAGAAGGGTGCTGCTTGGTTCGTTCCAAAGATGAAGAAGGTACACAAATTTTTTTTAACATACTCTGATTTTTCAGATTTCACATGTTTATAGGAAGTTTGATACTAATTTCTTAAAGGTATAAAAAAATTTAAATTCTGAAAAATTTTTTTAAAGTCTGGATTTAATATCTGGGCTTACGGAGGATAAAGTTAATGGTTACACCCAAAAGCTTTGGTAGGGAGAATAGAAATTGGTTCCAGCATTTTTTGTGCATGTACCGTGTTTGGGTCCTATACTAGGCACTTCCTATATATTACTCCATGCTGTTTGTGTGGTCGAGACTAGATTGTAACTGTACGGAATGTCTCATAAATGGGTACATAGAATAATAATTAACAGCACAAGGTATTATAAATAATTGATTGAAGTCTATGTGCAAGTCAGCCTACAATCATTGGAAAGAAACTTTCTAGTTGGCCCCTTGTAGAAGGGGAATTCTAATTTAAAACACTGAAATACAGTTTTAAATTCTCTGAAAGTACTTCGTGTGGAGTTATCTCTTCTGTATTTTTTATGTAGCAGACAATGAGAATTATGAAGTTTTATTCAATTTGGAAGAACTTAAATTAGACCAGCCCTTCATTGATTGCATCAGAGTTGCTCCAGATGAGAAATATGTGGCCGCCAAGATAAGAACTGAGGATTCTGAAGCATCTACTTGTGTAGTTGTAAAGCTTACTGATCAGCCTGTAATGGAAGCCTCTTTCCCAAATGTGTCCAGTTTTGGTAAGCCACCAACCAAAGTAGTCTTTTCTGTTGAAGAGGCAATAGTAAGGGAATTGTCCACACTTTTGATTCAGTGTTGGAGGGGGGTTGACCCTGTGAGCGATGGAGAAGGTGAGTGCCTGACCCATTTTTCTCTGAGGACTGCAAATCATCCTGTGTGCCTCTTATTCAGCAGATCTTCCCTTCTTTATTTATCTGAATGAGTGACTTTAAAATAATTCTCATTTTTGTAAGAGTTAATAATCAGGGTCCTCGTTGTACAGTGCATCTTGATATATTAGTAGTACTTTTCCAGTTTATTATATGGAATAAATCTTAGCTCATAAGATGCATCTTAATTTTTGGGGTCAATTTTAAGCTTGGATATGTATGATTTTAATTTCATGTTATCTTGGAAAGATGTTATACCAGATTGCCCAAGTCACTGCCTAGGAAGTTGGAGTGTATTAAGCTAACTTACTCCTCAATGGAAGCTGTGACATTTTAAATAAAGCCAACTTTAAGTCTTGTATTTGAGTGGTATATATGTTCATACTTGTCCTGGCCTTTCATTGAAATCATTTTTCTCCATTGTTTAAATGTTTTTGCAATTAATTGACATTATATACTATCTAATGGATCCTAGGAAACATTTTATACATTTTAACCTCTAAAATCAACATGTAAATTATACATTGTTGACGTAGAATCAGTGTCAGCTGGGTGCTAGTCATGATGTAATTGTGTGTAAACTTTCCACAGGTTCTGGTGAAATCAAGAACCACCATTAAAATGTATATGTTTAAGATATCCCGTGGCTCAAAAGCAGACAGAAAAGTTCGAGACAGGAGAGAATGTGACCCAGTACTTCTACAGACTAATGTTACAAGTTGTAGATTTAAATGTAACTCATCTGTAAGCAAATGTGCCTTTACCAATGTCTCTCCTAAATATTGTATATTTAGCTCTTATTTAGAAACTTAAATATCCTGAGACAAACTTACTGGAAATGTGTAGCTGTTGTAGTAGTGTTTTACTGTCTGGAAAGTTCTGACTTATATATAACACAGGTTGACTACAGTCTTTTAATGACTTTCTTTCAGAATGGGTAAAGGATGAAGAAGATGAAGATGTTTTATTCTACACCTTTCAGAGGAACCTCCGTTGTCATGATGTATATCGAGCCACTTTTGGGGATAATAAGCGTAATGAACGTTTTTACACAGAAAAAGACCCAAGGTACTAAGATAATTCAGTCAAGCCATTTTCTCTAGAATATTTCTCTAGTTATGGTTGCCTTGAAATTTTGGTTTTGTTTGGAACCAACTGTATTAAGACTAAGGTGACCTGCTGATGGTGCACAGTTGAGTCTTATACTCAAACCCGCATACGTCACTAGCCTGCAAATGCTAAGTTACCAACATTCTCTCTGGACTGTGACACATGAGAGGAATTGTTAATTAAACATAAAATTGGGTTGCCACATAACATTTCCAACTAGAATACCATGGTATCAATTGCATAGAATTTTGCTACCCACTGATGTAGATTATGTAAATATTTTTTCATACAAAAATTTAATATGTTTGAGAATTTTCATCAAAGAGCAAGATTATATAAAAGACAAAAATCAGAAAAGCATTCATGCAGAAAATTTGCAGCAGAGAAAAAGGAAATTAGTACATATGGCATAATATTCAAGCTCAAAATTATTTTTTAAATGGTGGCTAAGAGTATCATTTTGCAACTGCTTAATGAGAAATATTGAAATTAACTACCGGTACTGATTAGTCTGTGATCAAATTTGTATGCTATACTTTATTGGTAATTATGTCAGTGCACACAACTGTCTTGGTGAACAGTCTGCAATACTTTGGAAAGGAAGCAGGTCGGTAGGTCTGCCATCTGTGATATTGGACTTCTATAATTCAGCATTTATTGCTGTATCTCTCTTCCCTCTCACAGTAGACAAGTTTTTAATTATTTTGCTTTCAGCCATGACATCTTTTGGTCTTTAAACTTTATTTCCCCCAGTGATGAGTTCTTTCTTAAAACTAATTCTTTCTGACTCCTTGTAATCTCCAGGACTCACGCTCATATTAACACTGAATGAGGCTTGGAGAGAAGTGATAATAAATTTATCTACCAAAATCCTTTGACTCTTACCCAAATATATTTTTTCAAATGACTATGAAAGACAAATTTTGCCTTCTTGTCAAGGTCTTAATCACTAGATGCATTATTTAGCAGAGTAGTTTGGACAGTGTCTCAGTACATTTTGCAAGAAAAACAAATGAAATTTAACTCCAAATCTGTGACAGTGAAGTTGGTAGCCAAAACAAGAAAATTAACCCTTCATATCATAAAAAAGTTTAAAAAGACCTTAAATCCCCAGTTTTTAGTAAGAGATGAAGATTTGAGAAAATTACATTATGACGTTATTCCAAGTCATAGCATTAATGCATGTTTGCCAAACTGACTTTATAATTTCATATTATCTGCCCTCATTAGCCCCATTTTGGCTGCCTGATTTTGAAAAAGTTATTGTTAGAAATATGGCCAGAAAGAACCTCAGCCAGTCAGGTTCTTAATCATGTCTGTTTCTAGTACGAGAGTGGATTTGGTTGTTCAAAAATAGTCTTTTTTATTGTAATGATAGATTGTCTCCAAAACTCAGATTCAGGAAAAATGCCTGCTAATACAGTCTTACAGATGGATACATTTTTACTATTAATGCTTCTATTTTCAGGTATTTCCAGGACCATATAATGTAATTCACACAGTCTGAGGAGACAGTATATATAGATGCTAAAGGGAAAGATTTAGAATTAAAAGACCTGATTTTTATGTCACTGAAGAATAACCATTCTCCATTCACCTAAAAAAATTTTTTTTCCTGATCCGAACGCTATTCACTGTACAACTGACAAAGTGGTGCTAGCATCAGATACTTGGAACAGGGCTAAATTGGGATGGTGTGGGAAGTAGGCTGGTCTCTGCAGCCTCTCAGGAGCCAACTGTAAAGGTCCCAGGGAAGCAGGCTCTGAGGGGACTTGAGTATGTTAAGCTGCACTCAAACTGATGTCTTAGAAAGAACTAGAAGAATTTTAGAGGTATATCTGTAACTTTTTAAAAATTAGTGTATTTAAAATACTGGAGCCCAGGCAGTTAAAAGATTTACCAGAATTGCACAGCTGATCATTAGCAAAACATGCACCTTCTAATTCTTCATTCATGAGTCTTCCTTTGGGGCAGCACCTAAATCTTTGCATAAGAAGGAGAATTACCTGGAATGACCCTCTCTAAATGTTCCTCCTCAGATTGATTGTGTTGTTGGTCTCAGACAGACAGTTTTTTGCTTTGTTGCTATACATGATGATGCTTTACTTAGGTTGCTCTAAGATTGGATAATGACATAGTGATTACAGAAGTCTTCCAGGATGTATTTCTTGGCTCCTAGGCTCTTGCATACCTTTGAGTATACTATTCTTTAATAATATTTATGCAAATTAAAAACCCATGCAGATCATTTTGTATTGATCACCTACATATTCAAGTAATACTACTAACTGGGAAATTGAACTTTGCTACCCATGCAAGTGTGATACCTCTACCCAGTACAATTAAGAAAAATTTTTAATTATTAAAAGATAAAATTGTATTAATTATAATATGATTCATTTATGTAAATTAATGAAGACAACCTGCAACCACTAGGCTTTCACCTTTGTATCCTGATTGACAAGCATGGTGCCAGGCTTATATTACTGCTACTTTTAGTACTTCTTCATTAAGTAAATAGTGCTCGTCTCTCCTTCAAGCTAAAACTCCTAATCAGATGTTGAACACCTGATAGCCATTGAGTTCTGGGCAGTAGGTAGGAGAATTTAAAGTATATATTGCTACAAAACTAGAAATTAAAGTTAACTGAAAAATGTGGTAGGTGAAAAATATTGAACATATGGGTATCCACTATGTATCAGGGAAAAATACATCTCTTTTTTAAAATCCAGTTTTTTTGTTGTTGGTTTTGTTTTGTTTTGCTGGTACTAGAGATCAAATTCGGGACCTTGAGGTTGCAAGGCAGATGGCAGCACCACTGAGCTAAATCCCGGCTCAAAACTGCATCTTTTAAAAAAAGATTAAAAAGAAATATACCCAAAGTACTAATAAGGGTTTTTTCCCCTACTTTTTTTCTCTTTCATAATAACTTCTTTTTTACTCATTGGGAAAATAACTTTAATTTAAAAAATAAATATCAAGCCCAACATGGTGGCACATAACCATAATCTCAGCATTCTGGGAGGCAGAGGCAGAAGGATCACAAGTTCAAGCCAAGCCTGGCAAATTTAGCAATTCAGGGATACCCTTTCTCAAAACAAAAAATTGAAAAGGATTGAGGATATAGCTTAGTGCAAAGGCCAGGTTCAATCCCCAGAAGCAGAAATAAATAAATACCAGTAGAGGTAAATGGAAAAAGGTATTGTGTTTTATTTCTTTGTGTTCCCTGTCTTTTTCTAAGAAATATTCTACTCTAGAAATACTTGTGTTCTCACTTCCCCATAACTGCATATTTTCCAAGTAATTTATCTTTTGATTTGTCATCAAAAATCAAAAAAAGATAAAATTGTTGAAAATAAAGAGCAAAGTGGGGAAAGCGACTTACCCCACAGTCATGTATAAAGCATATGATGCTACAACAGTAGAATAATAAACAGTAATAAAATCGACAGACAATACAGACTAGAGTATGTAACTCTGAAACAGACCTTATGCATGAAAACAGTAATAAAAGAGGCATCACAAACTAAAGAGTAAGATAGATCAATAGATACATGGATCGGAGATCGGAAATCACATCTACTGCTGGGAATATTGGTGCTAGCTTTACAGTTCTTTCAGTTTCTCCCTTTGAAATATATTTATGATACAACAGAAAAAATAATTTCAAATGACTGGATAGAGAAAAATAATAGCCAATTCAAAATGTGGAAATAGTATTTACTAAGGAAATTTTAAATTTTCTGACTGTATTATAAATTGACATATGGCCGAGGATTTAGCTCAGTGTTTCTGCTACCTGCCTCACAAGTGCAAGGTCCTGAGTTCGATTCCAGGTACCAAAAAAATAAAAACAAATAAATTAATTAACATGTATTTCATTGCTGAAATATTATGTTAATAAAGAAGCATACATTTAAAATTTACTGCAGTCTCATCTGTTCTCTCTTTCTGTAGCTATTTTGTTTTCCTTTATCTTACAAAAGATAGTCGTTTCCTCACCATAAATATTATGAACAAGACCACTTCTGAAGTATGGTTAATAGATGGCCTGAGCCCTTGGGACCCACCAGTACTTATTCAGAAGCGAATACATGGTGTCCTCTACTATGTTGAACACAGAGATGATGAACTATACATTCTTACTAATGTTGGAGAGCCTACAGAATTCAAGGTAATTCTAGATTCTGCTTGTCTCCTTTAGTACTGTTGAGATGTGTCTCACTTCCCTCAGCAACATCTCTTGCTCTTAAGGGGTAATTATTTTGTAGGCTTTGTTGAAGCATAGAAATTGTTGCTACCTTCCTGTCCCTTACCAATCCCATTTCTCTTTCCTTAAAACTAATGCCTCTGTTTTAGTTGTGCCTTAGAGATTGGTAAATGACACATATTCTATCCTGATTATGTTATCAAAACCAATTTTACTGGCTTACAGAAGCAAACTCATAAACTCACAATTTTGTGAGTTGGCGGGTTAGATTTATTTTCACTAGATTCACTGATGAATGTGTGCATAATCTGCTGGCTATCGTGGCCCCTTCTCAAATGTCCCTTGGTTTGCTGTCTGGCCATACTGGCACATAAGGCACTGGGCCATACTGTGTCACCACCCAGCCGGCTAGCCTTGTCTTATAGGTAATATTCACATTTCTTCCTGGATGCAGAGCTTCCACTCTTCATTAAAAAGCGACAAGTGTGGTCTAGTTTTCAGTGTTTTCATTTCTAGATGCTATACCCTTTGTGTTTTGTTACTTAGCTCTAGCTTTGTTCCACACAGCTAATGAGAACAGCAGCTGATACCCCTGCTATTATGAATTGGGATTTATTTTTCACAATGAAGAGGAATACCAAAGTTATAGACTTGGACATGTTTAAGGATCACTGCGTTCTCTTCCTGAAGCACAGCAATCTACTTTATGTTAATGTGATTGGTCTGGCTGATGATTCAGTTCGGTCTCTAAAGGTATGTGTGATTTTTGTAAGACAGTATTATTAAAGTACTTACATAGTTTAGCTTATCACATCAAATTTTGAATAATGTTATGTACTTCAAAATAATTTAAATGGGAATTTAGCTCTTTAACAGTTTAAGAGATTTGTTTTAGAATGGTTGGAGAACTCAGCAAGCAGTTTGACTTAAAATACTACCTTGAAGCATGGACTTCAGAAACAGTTAGGTGCCATTATACGTCTCTTGTCCAGGTCTCTATATATCACGTGTCTTTACAACTTTAGGTATAGCCTTGACTCGTATCAGCTTGGCCTCTTGTACCTAGACACTGGCTGCTGCTCCCATACCATGCCCACAGTTGGATAGCAGCTTTTTGTTGTTTTGTTTTTTTTGTTTTTTGTTTTTTTGTTTTTTGTTTTTGGTACCAGGCATTGAACTCGGGTCCTTGCGCTTGCAAGGCAGGCCACCGAACCGCTGAGCTAAATCCCCAGCCCTGGATAGCAGTTTTGTCTACCATGTTTCTGCCACAACATACTTGTATTCACACCATCTTCTCTTTGCCAGTATTCTTACCCAAGGGGACTGACTTTAGTTTCTTTGAATATGAGGGCAGCAGTGGTCTTCACCATAGAAGGGTGACAGTGGCATGTCTGCCTAGCAAGCTATTCAATATTGCCCATGGCTGCCAGGTAAAATAATTTGCCTTCACAAGTGAATCTGCTAAAGTTAGTGAATTGCAACGGTATTGCCCACTTTTTTGTTTGTTTGTTTGTTTTTGGTTTTTTTGTGATACCAGGGATTGAACTTGGGTCCTTGTGCTTGCAAGGCAGGCGGCAGAACCACTGAGCTAAATCCCTGGCCTTATTGCCCACTTTTAAAGCAGCATTCACAAGTGAATGAAGAAGGAAAGAGTAAGGGGCCCTCATTTTCTTGATATGGAGTTGACCCAACTGAATAGCAAGCATCATGGACCATTTATACCTCCTTACCTCCAGTGCTGTCAGAAGTCCAGTTAAACTGCATGTTTCATTAATTTGGTGGCTGTTTAATGTGTAAAATATTATATTGTCTATTATGGAGTGGAAAGACAGTAGAACAAAATACCTGGCCTTCAGGAGGATACAGTTTATCATGAGATCAGAAAATAAAGGTTAAATAAAAAGTGTATCTAAATAAGTGTTATCAAAAACATAGAATGTCCTATGAGACACAAAGGAAAGGAAGAAGTTTCAAGAAAGCTTTTATAGAGTAAGTTGAATTATAAATAAAAGGATAGGTAGGGTTTTGTAGGTAGGGGGGTATTGTATTCTAAGGGGAAAAGGTCATTAACTGAAAAGCTAGAGAAGTTCAGAAACTTTGGAAAACTGCTAATCTTTTTTACTGAAGCATTTCTAGGGTAGGAAACTATGATTTAATTTTTTTTACTATCACTGAGGAGAATTTATGCATAAATTGTACATAAACTGTGAAGAGGGAACATTTGAAGTTTTGAGCAGAGGAAGAGTTTGAGGACTGAAGCCATATTATGAGGTTATAGGGTATATAAAGCTTAGACTGAAGCAAAAAGAGATAAGGGGGAGGATGGGAGGTTTTGAGATTGTTTTATATATATAGGAGAAAGGAGAAATGTAGTTCCCAACCTTCTAGATGTCAGATGTGCCGAGTTCATGTCCCCTGAAATTGGAACAATGCAGGTTAAGAGTAGGAAAGGTCTATTGAGCAATAGCTCCTGAGAGACAGGAGGGGCCTGAAAGTTGGTTGCCACCGAAGCCCTTTGTTAGGGGTAATTTATACAGCAAAGTCATGATGTGGGTACAATGTGGGTCAAACTACAATCATCCTGTAACATTACAAGTACTATATAGCTGCTTAGTTAATAATTGATCTAGTAGTCATGTAACAAGGGCACAGGGAAAGAACAAAGGCATTTTTGGGGAAGGGATGGGTCCAGATGCTGCGATCACCCACCTGAGTAAATGATGCCTGCCTGAAATTCCTGGACCACAGTGTAATTCCACATTACTGCTTATCTCTTAGGGAGGCATGCAGGCCTGGCCATTACATCTTTATATTGAGGCCTGGTCTTCAGCTGCACCTCCAGGCACAATCCTAATGCTTTCATTTTTTGTGCTAACTTCCTTGAGAGTCCATTCCCTCTCAGAATGTATTTTTATTTCTGTCTCACTTAGTTGCCTGTAATAATATACTGGTACAAATAAAAACTACGGAGGGCCTAAAACACCTGAAATCCTCCAGCTACTCCCTAAAATAAAATTATGGACTGTAGTATCCAGATTTTAGAAGATTGTATCAGTGTGCTAAAAAAAATAGTGATTGACTTTAGGAATTCTCTTATGGTCTTTACCTGCTAGATTTAAGGAAGGTGGCAGAACCACTGAGCTAAGTCCCTGGCCTAGATTCTGAATCTGCTAGATTCAGAGTGTTTCTTTTTGCTTGGTAATCTGTCCCAAATTCAGACATTTTTCAGTTGGGAATCTGGCAAAATATTTACTATTGTCTGTATGAATAGTGATGAGAGAGAATATATTTCTAGTGATGTACTTATTACAACAAAGTTCTGTTGAGAAAATCAGGAATGTCTTGTAGACTGTACCTCTACTATAATGTTTGACTTCTATATAAAATGGCCTTCTATATTTTTGTTAAATATTTCTGGGTGGTTTGGGGTTTGTTTGGTTGTTTATTTGTTTGTTTGTTTTTTGAGGTTTTACATTAGTTAAAAGTATTAAACATGGGATTAATGGCAGGAAAAACAATACACTCTGCAGAGTAAGTGTAAGCCAATTAAAGTAGGAAAAAAAATAGGAAGTACACTCTGCAGAGTACCGAGCAGGCTGATGAAAAGGCTCATAGCCACATATTTCTGTTTTTAAAATATTCCTTAGATATGTAGCAATAAAAAATAAATACAATACTTCTTCGGTGAGAGGTGTAGCTCAGTGGTAGACCATTTGACTAGCATGCATGAATGAGGCACTAGGTTCAGTTTCTAGCACCTCAAGAAAATAAAAATATATATTCAATTTCTGTTGTTTTAACTTCTATAAAAAATGTCTTTATTCAGTATCACCCGTCTCTTCCTTTCCTGACCTTTCTCAGACATGTTATGCCTAATATAATGTTAGATCATTGTCAAGTGAAGTCAGATATTACATTATATACCGGGTACCACTTAAAGAGAATTTTATAGATTAAACCCATTTTATGAAAGTGTATAGCACTGATTACTAACTACAGACAGTGCTGTATTTGAAGGAACAAAATCTTTTACCATACAGTAAGTGGCTCATTTTCTTTTAGTATATTATATCTTTGTCATTCTTTCAATAAAAGCACTGTAGTTTGCTGGTGAAATGCTAGAGCCAAACCTGTTTCTATCTGGTATCTAAGAAATGTCTGCCTATCCAGCCAGCCGATTTCTTAGTGCTGTCCATTAATATATCACAGATGCACTGTAGGCTTATCTTAGTAGGAAACATGGTGCATAATATCCTTGAGATAGTTAATACTTATTTCTGTATCAGCTGGACCAATAAAAAGTTCCACAGCCTTGGAATGTTTTTGTTGTGACTGAAACTTCAATCTTGGTGAAAAATACCTTTTAGAAAAATACCCAAAAGACTTTTTGACTTACTGGAGCCAGTTGGCCTAAAGCTATGACAACTTATTACATGGGTTGTGTGGAATCTGTCTTGAAGTCTCACTGAGAGACAGCAAACCTTGTTGCTTGTTTCTCAGGCTAAGGAAGCTCATACGTTCACTGGCACCTAGTTACCAGGTTTAAAATAATCCCCAGTCTGAGAAGAAGAAGTCAGGAACTCAGAGACTGACAGCGCAAATGGATCTCGTTATTAGTGTTTGGCAAAAATAGATTCTTCGGTTCAATTAGAAGAAATTTGCTTGCTGAACATGAAGTCTTTGGCCGCCGCTGCAGCAGGTTCAATAGTATGCGCGTCGTGTGCACATCCCCCAGCTCCCTTTCCAGTTGTGCCTGCCAGTGATGTTGCTGTGCCAAAGACCTCTGATTTTCTAAGGAATTTGCCCTTTCTACAATTACTCAGGAAAAGAAAGGCAATTTTCTTTTAATGTTCTGATTCTTGGGACCTCTTATAACACTCCGTCAACCTGCTTACCAGAGCTCTTTAAAAGGTGTAAGCGGGATGTTAGTGGAAGTCTTGAAGCTGGACCCTGCTGCTCTCAGAGAATAAATTTTGATTCCTTTCCTTTTTTCTTAAAGTTAAGAATCTTAGGCATAATAGCTGTAAGTCTCTCAGAGTAGATGTGCCTGGAAAGGTTTTTGTTCTGCACAATGGTTAGCCTGGAAGCTAAAGTTAGAAACAAATTGTAAACGCTTTAGTGCTGCTGAGCCCGTTTGTAGCCCCGGAATAATAACTGTCATCACTGGGCCGTCCAGGCAGCAGGCTAAGGAATGGTGGGAAAATTATTCAAAACACACACATGTGAGGGATTTTATGTTTTCTGAGAACAGAGATCGTGAAGCTGTCGCTGAGTTTTGGAATTACTATTTCATTTGCTCTTGTTCTTTACCATTCTGTTACTTTATTATCCAAATTCATACCCGAGATAAACTTACATTAAGGGAGATTTCTTGTAAATCTAGACTCCTGATAAGCCTTTTTCCTGTAATGATTCTTACTTTATTAGTCCTTAATGTTTTTTAATGCTTTTTTATTAGCTTGAAAGACACTTTTTTGTGAAGTAATCCTTAAATGATATATCAAGTATTAACAGAAAGTAAACCAGACTGTATATCATTTTCCTTGAGCAGACTCAGAAACTTAATTAGTGGTATTTAGTTGTGTGTAAAGAGTGAAAATAAGTGTTTTATTTCTTTAGCTTCCTCCTTGGGCCTGTGGATTCATAATGGATACAAATTCTGACCCAAAGAACTGCCCCTTTCAACTTTGCTCTCCAATACGACCCCCAAAATATTACACATACAAGTTTGCAGAGGGCAAACTCTTTGAGGAAACTGGGCATGAAGACCCAATCACAAAGACGAGTCGTGTTTTACGTCTAGAAGCCAAAAGCAAAGTAAGTCTTTGGAATGTCTCCTTTCAGCTCCTGTTGATTGAAAGCCTACTGTGCCAGTTACTGTATAGATGCCATGATTACATCAGAACCACTTTCCCAAATAGAGCCCTTATATCACAGCATAAGACCCAAATGATTTTAGGGAATGATACTTTTTTTTTATTTAACATTACTACTCGGGTATTTATTTTAACATGGATTAGAAAATTTACAGCTAGCCTGTCAAGCCCTTCATTTCACGTGTTGTTTATTTTTGAATTTTAAAAGTTAAATACAGATGTAACTAGTCAATCATACACACTTAATAGTAAAAATTATGAAGGTGTGGTAAGAAGCCAACTAGAGTGAACTAGACCAATACATCCTTACCCTCATGGAGCTTAAATCTGGCAGGGAAAATTCCTGAAGTTGATGAAATAATTACTACTGTACTGACTGATACAAAAGGAAACAAACCATTTACAGTGCAAGCATGGCACAGGGGCCTTACCGAGTCTGGAGAGATGAGAGGTCTGAGGTAGGACCTTGAGGGTGACTCAGAATAAGCTGGAAAAGGAGCATGGAGTCCCGTTTTTCTCCAGAGGCCCTGAATTTATGTAGAGATTGGTGGGGAGAATAGAGAGATGAGAAATAGAGAAGGATATAAGAAATACCCATATTCCAGATATACTAAATAATCAGGATTTACAAATGTGTACTACTAGAGAACTAACTAATGCATAAACTATAGCCTTGAATTGAAGGAACTTTTACACCTTAGCATATCATGGATCTAACAGTTTCACAGGCAAAGAATGGATTGCAACACAAATCATTTTTCCTTATGAAATTTTTTCTTTTATTCATTGATTTTTCTTTAATATCTTTAAGCAAATATTAGTATTACTTTTGTATACCAAAAGCAGTACATACTTGTTAGAACAAATGCAAAATACAAAACATGTGAAGTTTAAATTGCTGTTTTTTGTTCCTATTTGCTACATCTCTGAGAAAACTTTAATTGTTAACCATTTACTCTTTTCATCTTACATATTTTGTTGTCAATATGTATGCTTCTAGGTTTTAATTTTATAAACATAGGATTATTTTACAAACATAGTGTACCAAAATGTTGTAATTATTGTACCACAAACTCAGAGAGAACAATTAAATGAAGGGCTTGGAATGCCAGGGAGCTCTTCAGGCATCAGGGAGGAAGCTAAATGCCAGCTGCTGTCCCTTCCCGCAGGCCTTCATTACTGCTGGTGAACTCTGGGTCCCAGCCCGGCACAGGACTGACTACCCATCATCTCTACCTCTTGCTTTTCCCAAGGTTTCAACCAGTGGATTTTTCAGATTATATAATTGAGGTTGGAGAAGAGACAAGGAGATGAAAGGACCAAGATTGTTTTATAGAAATGAGTTTACATCAAGTGTTGTAAAATAAATCTTTTTATTTAGAGAAGTGAAAATTTACTTTCACTGTCATAAGAAGTCGGGTATGATGCATGAAAGGAAGACTGCTTCCTATTTGATAACACTCTGATAGGTCATTTTACACTCTGGTGTGGCCCAAAATGAAGTTTTTAAAATGAAAAAATTAGGGTGATTTGGTTACATTAGTTTCATATGTAAATGAGTGCCACTTTTTTTTTTTTTTATTTCTTTGAGCAAAGTAAAAACCAACTTCACCCTTTTTCTGTGAAAGGAAAATCAAAGGTAGTTCTGTTATTTGCATTTTTTAATGTTAGAAGGTGCTGTGTTTCAGGCAGCTGGAAATGAGTTTGAGCTATAGTGGGAAATACTTAAAGGCAATTTAAGTGTTAGATTTTTGCTTCCCCCACACCCCGGTACTGGGGATTGAACTCAGGACCTCGCACATTTAAGGCAGGTATGGCAGATGTGGCACCACAGAGCTAAATCCCCAGCCCTTAAGTGTTAGATTTTATGAAATGCACTTGAACCATTTTAAAAATTTTCAAATAAAATTAAATAGGCTTTGGAAAAGGATGTGAGTGGGTATAAGTAAAATCAGTAAGAGATTTCAGGTCCTAATGGTTAAGAATTGTGACTTCAAAAAACCAGAATATTGAGCTGGCAAAACTTCTTAGCATATTTGTAAACATGCAAAAATGAGAAATACGAGGAATTGCATATTAGGATGTCCAGCCTTGGTAGGTATTTTGCCTTGACCCAAAAGAAAAAGAAACTACAGTAATACTGAGTAATGAAGTTTTTTGGTTTTTTGAAACAGGGTCTCACTATGTAGCGCAGGCTGGCCTTGAACTCATGGCAATCCTCCCAAATGCTGGAATATAGGTGTGTGAAGAAGTCTTTTTAAAAATCACTTTACTGTTATGAAAAGCCACGTTTAATAAAACATTTTCAAGCCATTCTTGCTGCTGTTTTCTGGTTGATGCTGTGGGTCAGCAAGAGAGCTGAAACCAGTAGCGGTAGTGCATATTTGGAGGCCATAACTCTTATTATCTTAAATGAAGTTCACATATAACATCAATAAGTAAAACAAAGCAGGGAGAACATTTCTGTGTGTTTTACATTACAGGTTAAATTGTTTTGAAAGACTCTTTACATGCATGATAATTCATTTCCAGGATGGAAAATTAGTGCCGATGACTATTTTTCACAAAACGGACACCGAAGACTTGCAGAAGAAACCTCTCTTGGTACATGTATATGGAGCTTATGGAATGGATTTGAAAATGAACTTCAGACCTGAGAGGCGGGTCTTGGTGGATGATGGATGGATACTAGCATACTGCCATGTTAGGTAAGTCATCACATTTTACCTGGCGGCATGTGAGTTCTAGAACACTGACACACAGCACATATCCGAAATAACAATATATACTGGGGAACAGAAGCTTTTTTTTTTTTTTGTAGTACAGAGGATCAAACTCAGGACCTTGCGCTTGCCAGGCAGGTGTAGCACATCCATGGCCACCTGTTTTCTCATTAGTACTGTTGGATTTATATATTCCTAAATCTGTGCAGGTGGAATTTGATTCACTAACAGATTAGTTGATCCAGAGAAAAAAGGATAAATTTTTAAGATTTTTTAAATGTATCAGTCTCTCTGCTTAGTTAGATAACCATTGCCATTGAATTCTCCTGAGTTTGTTTTTTTCTTAAGCAGCCTCTTAAGTTGGACTCCTTTTTCCAGCCTAGCTTCCATTTTATTTAGCTTTTTCAGGACACAAATATAATTTTGTTTTCTCCTTAAAACCCTTCTCTACTGCCCATCTCCAGAACAAAGTCCACCTTTCTCAGCTAGTACTCCCCATGATCTGGTTTATCTCTGCAGCAGCATCTCTTACGCCCTTCCAAATGACATGCTCCATCACCTCCTTGCCCTCGCCCACGCTGTGGTGTCTTGGTGCCATCCCTCTCCTTGTCCTTCAGGAAGTGGGTATTCTTCCTTCACAGCTCACCTTACCCATCATCTCCTTAAGCTTTCATGTTCCTGGCTCACGTGTACACCCTGCATCCCTAACGGGACAGAGGATGTCCTTCCTCTGCTTCTGTAATACTTCACATACACTCACATTAGAGTAGCACCCACAATACTTGGTAACATTTTTGCCCTCATGAGATGTATGATCTTCTCCATGATAATTTTTGCTTATTTATATTTTTAGAGCCTGCACTTAGTCCCTGCTAAATAGCGGGCAGGCACTCTAGGCATATTGGTTGAGTTCATCTTCGATTGCATACATCAGGGGTTAGCAAACATTTTTCTGAAGTAAAATGTAAACATTTTAAGCTGTATAGTCTATATTCCTTCTGTGGTTTCTCCCCAGCCTTTAAAAATAGGAAAACCAAGATCGCTCGTGCACACGCATACACACACACACAAATAAATAAATAAACAAACAAACAAATAAATAAAAATAGGAAAACAATTTTTGGCTTGGGGACCATACAAAAACTATCCCTCCAGGGATAGTTTATCGATATCTGTCTACACCGTTATCATTTTTTCCCCACTAAAACTTTTTGCCCTTTAATTTCAGGGGAGGTGGTGAGCTAGGCCTCCAGTGGCACACTGATGGCTGCCTAACTAAAAAACTCAATGGCCTTGCTGACTTAGAGGCTTGCATTAAGACGCTTCATGGCCAAGGCTTCTCTCAGCCAAGTCTAACAACCCTGACTGCTTTCAGTGCTGGAGGGGTGCTTGTGGGAGCACTGTGTAATTCTAATCCAGAGCTCCTGAGAGCTGTGACTCTAGAGGTGAGTATACTCTGTCTCTCCTGTTTACAGAGTGGGGCAGGCATAAAGCCATAGGCTGCACTGGAAAAAAGTGTTACAGTTCTATCACAGCATAAGACTGTAACGAAGCTTTTAAATTTAAATTCAGAAGTGTAACTCTAGGAGAGCTTCTAAAACTGTTTTGATATTACTATCTCGGACTTCTGGCTAAGATCAAGTGTTTTAATATTACTGTCTACTGTTTGCTTATTATTCTCTGACAGCATTTACTAATTTTTAAGGATTTCCACTGGAAGATAAATGGCTATTCCCATGAGCATTTTCTGTTTGTCAGAACAGTTAGAGTTGGTGAGAAAGAGATGAAGCACATCGGCTTCAGTTCCACCACTCCCAAATCAGGATTTATCTTTTTGACACTGGCTTATTTCACTTAAACTCTCTCCTTGGGGCTCATCTGTATTGTAGCAGGTGTCTTCTCATTTCCTTTTTCAACTTGAGTAATATTTCACTGTAAATATATACCACATGTTGCCTGTTTGTTCACTTGGATTATTTCCACCTTTTGGCTGTAAATAACGTTACTGAGAATAAGTCTTCAAGACCCTACTTTCAGTTCCTTTGAGTACGTATAAAGTGAAATTCTGGATCGTAAAGTGAACCTAAGTGTCATTTTCTTTTGTTTTGTTTTGTTTGGTTTGGTTTTTTGAGACAGGGTCTCACTATGTAGTTGAGACTGACCTGGAACTCACTGTGTAGCCTAGGCTGGTCTCAAACTCACAGTGATCCTCCTGCCTCAGCCTCCCGAGTGCTGGGATTACAGGCATGCACCGCCACGCCTGGCTCCCCTAAGTGTAATTTTGTTGAGGAGCCACCATCTCTTTCCCACAGTGCTTGCGCCGTTTTACCCTTCAGCAGTGCATATGGAATCCAGTTTCTTTTACAAGAGAATCACCGACACTTGATATTTTTTATTTTTGTTTTTTAATATAGCATCCATCCTAATAAGTGTGAAAGATAATGTTAGTTTTATATAAGAAAAACTATATATATGGGACCAAACTAAAAGCAAAAATTGTGAAATTAGAAGATAAACCCTTTCTTGTTATAAATGCCATTTAAGGAGCTGAATGCATTAAAAAGCCAGCTCTACATTGCTGGCTGTGGTTAAGACTGAGTAGCTATTCTAGCTCTTGGAATCCACATGGCTTCTTGAGCTGTTTTCTCTCATATCACTGTGTGTATCTATAACGTTTTTCTCATCTTAGCAACTTCTTGATTGAAATATAAGTTTCTTTGGCTTTTTTTTTTATTAGGCACCTTTCTTGGATGTTCTCAATACCATGATGGACACTACTCTTCCTCTGACATTAGAAGAATTAGAAGAATGGGGGAATCCTTCATCTAATGAAAAACACAAGAGCTACATAAAACGTTACTGTCCCTATGAAAATATTAAACCTCAGGTAGTAGAAGACAGTTACAATGCACTATCCTGAAGTGAGCGATAGAAAAGATAAGCAGAGGGATACTTAGCTGAACTGAGGAGGGAGTTAGCAGGGCTTTGGAGATGTTTCTGCTTGTGGTACCCACGCATTTCAGCACCATCTCTGCCCGTGCCACAGGTCTATTTCCTATTAAAACCTCAGGACAAGGGGCTGGGGATTTATCTCAGTGGTTCTGCCACCTGGCTTGCAAGCCCCAAGGGCCCGAGTTCAATCCCTGGTACCAAAAAAAAAAGCTCACGGCAATAGTTTCTATGCATTAACTACTAGGTTAGATGAAGTACGGTCTCTTTAGACAAGAAAAGGCTGCTCCACATAACAGATAGTCTAGAGCTGTAATACTGAGGTTCATTCAAGAATATCCAATGAGAAAGAAAAAACTTCTAGCATGTAGAGGGAGGAAGTGGAGGGTAATTATTTTCCGTGATTTTATTGAACAGACTGAGAAGTGAACTCTGTGCATCTATTTTCTTTTAGCATTATCCTTCAATTCACATCACAGCTTATGAAAACGATGAGCGTGTTCCTCTGAAAGGAATTGTGAACTACACAGAAAAGCTCAAGGAAGCTGTCATGGAGTATTCTAAGAACGCAGGCGAAGGTGCGAGGCCGTCGGGATGCGGGGAACATGGCTGACAGACTGAGCCCTCGGCGTACTGCTCAGAGCCATACAGTTGGTGCTCAGACCAAGGCATCTGCCCATGATTTAAGACTTACACTTGGTTTCCTATGTTGAATACCCCGTTAAAGACTAGACACCTGTAACTGTGTCATTTCTTTTGAGAGGATACAAAAAAGTAAATTTAAATATCAACTGTAATTTCGAGATGTACCCTCAATCATTCATTTAACAATACTTACTGAGACATTAATTTTGGGAATCTAAAAGATTCTAGGTTTTTGCTTTGGAACGTAAGTGACCAAACTATTTGCACTGATTTCTTCTAGGTAGTTCTTTCATTCTCATTAGATAAGAACTCTTCCTTCTTGCCTTGAAAGTGCAAGCCAAGATATTCTGAGTTCAGGAAGAGGAGCCCACCTACCATCAGAGTCTGCCTATACCCAGCTCTGCTTTTATTCCCACCCAGTAGTATACATGGTACTTCCAGAGTACAGGACTTGGGTTCCACAGGCTCTCACCTCCCTCCTAGGGCACAAACTTCTTGTGGTGCCGTGACCCTTCGGTCCAGTGTCCTCCAACACTGGGCCTCCGGTTTTCCCATCTTATATTTATGCTGCCTGCCCCTCCTTCCCTCTCTTTGTTGGTGGTGGCCGTGGTTTTTCCCTTGTTTATTTGCTGCAAATTTTAATAGAATGCTCAAAAGGACAGAACAGAAAGGGGACTTGGTTTTATAAAAGACCTCTGATTATTTTATATGTTACCTCTTTCAGGATATCAGAACCCCAGTGTCATCTTAGATATTCAGCCTGGAGGAAATCACGTGATTGAGGATTCTCACAAAAAGGTATGTTATCTTGCCCCTCTTGGTTGACAGGGTACCCAAGCAGAAATGGAATTGTGCTCAGCTTTTTCTGTGGTTGTAGCGCAGTGTATGACACCACCCTTTGACAAATGTCAACAGTGGAAGGAAACGGACCCCACAGTCTGTCAATCGAAAAGGCTCTCTTATACTTGATAAGGGATCACTATTAAAGAAAGGAATCTTCATTATTGGAAGCCTTCTGCTTTTGCCAAATAAAAATATTCCTGCCATAAACTGCTGGCTACAGGGTTAGGTGAAAAAATTAAAACCACAGAGTCCTTCTATCTAATTTTAAAATGTGTTTCTTTTAGATTACAGCCCAAATTAAATTCCTGTATGAAGAACTTGGACTTGACAGCACCATTGTTTTTGAGGATCTTAAGAAATACCTAAAATTCTGAAATGCGACATTCAGCTGGGATTTGGAGATGCACTGAAATACTTCATAGTCTTATTTCCAGTTGGGTTAACAGAAGTGAGATTTTAAGTTATTAGAGAATTTCCTTAAAGTTGCTTATACCTCCAAGTTGTGCCTAGCCTGCATCTCACCCGCTTGTGCTGTTCTCTTCCACTGATGCACATGCCCCTGACCTGGGCAGTTTTCAGATTGTCTCCTGAGAAGGACGTGGACAGGAGCTAGGAGGGGACCGGGCAGCTAAATGCCAGGACCCCCTCCAGTCCGAACTTTGTCCGTTGTACTAAGATTTTCTTTGAACAGTTTACAGTCAGTGTCTTTCCTCTTTGCTAGTGAATATTTTTAGTCACTGTGGCAGTGAGTCATTTCTAGTTTCTGTGACTGCATTTTAAGGAGAAAGAACATTCTTCAAATGGAAATGTGTATAGTTGTTGAATAATCTTGGGTCCGGTAGTGTTTTGATCATTTCTTTTTTATGTTATTCACTATTTACAAGTTCCTCCAAGCAACAGTTTTCTTTTAAACATTTTATTACTCTTTTAAATCTCTTGAGAACCTTTCCTTAAGCAGTTACATTCAAACGACAGAAATAGTGAAGAATTAGTGACTATTCATAAAATTTACCCAGCAGCATGCTATTTGTGAAGTTAAATATTTGTGCCAGGGTCACCATGTCTTTCATAGAGGTCCTTAGCACACACTGTACAATATGTTGAAGGCACTGGAATAGCAGGCTCTATTGGAAATAAAGCATTTATCTCTGAATGCTGTTTGCCGATGGAGGAGATTGTTCGTGTTGTATTCAAGGATTAACCCTTCTCCCTTCTCCAGAGAAACACCAGACGTATCAGCTTCACTGCGTTGGGAGGCAGGATCGGTACTCATTCTTACTCTCAGTTTTGTAGGAAGACCTAAATTCATTTCCTGTAGATTTAGCAGTGTTGAGTCTCCAAAATTCAGGACCACCAGAAAGACTCTGTCTATGCCATCCAGTTCCCTGGTGTACACGACAGAGTGGCTGTCATTGCTCAAAAGGCAGAACCAGCCCCTGTTGAGGAGCAGCTCATTGGCATGAAGTTGACTTAAATCTTGATACAATTTCAGAGCTGAACTAGGCTGAGTCTTTTGGACCTGTTTTTTCAAAAGAATATGTAAATGTATGGTTCAAAGATTTTTTTAAAATATTTTAGTATGAAGGAATTATCCACCCCAAAACTACTTCTCTTGCCCTGCAAGTAACTGCCAAATTCTGTGCATTAATAAATAGATGGAATAGTTTATATAAAAACTGACAGAAATGTTGGGCTCGGCCGTGCAGCTTATCTGGGAGTCCCTGCTGTGTGCAGTCCTCAGTTACATCTTAGAGCTCCGCAGACACCAAATTCAACTCCATTGTAGAAATTCCAAAATGAGTGTTCACACCCCAGTTAAAGGACATTTAACATACCTAAGTAACATTGCTATGCTGTGTTGTAATTGCCAAATGCAAGGAAGGAAAAAGCCACGTGGCAGTGGACCCTGGGAACGTCTGATGCATCGGCCCTACATGTTCTCTTTGGTAGAGCGACGCGTAGGCTGCAGCAGACATTTATGTCTTGTGTGGCTAATGACGGATCAGAAAGTTTCAAAAGAAGATACAAAGCAACTAGCTGCTTAAAGTGAAAGATAGAAATTGTAGGGGTTGCTTTTACCATAAAAGGGTATGGCCATTAAAGATTTGGGTTTATTTTACAGCTATATAAGACACATATAAGTTAATGTATTTTTCTTGCTTTTTTTCCTTAAACATTTCACATATTTTCCTAGCCTTCATAAATGTCATTTCATGGTAAATGTTCTGTGAAATAGTTATATCATACTAAAATTAATACTCCCTTTAGTCCTCCTTCCCATATTTTGTATTATTTATTTAAGGATAGATTATCAAAAAGATTATTATGTAAAGGAATATGGACTTTTGATACTTCATGCCAAATTATTCTTCATAAGAGCTGTTGCCAAATCAACAATGATGTTCATTTCACTATACTCTTGCCAATTTTTTTTGCTAGGGTAGTGGTTATTGTTGTTGGTGTTCTTCAGGGGTGGATGCTTAATATGTGTGTTTGATGAGTATCTCAAAGGTGTTTGAAAAAAATATATTCTTTGTTTATTGGGTACAAAAATATTTATGGTACATGTATATGACTGACAGTTACTACCAGCATTTTCTGTAGCTTAGGTAATGCATGAAAAGTGCATAGTACAGTGCCAGCCACATGCAAAATACTTAGTGTTCGCTGTTACTCTCGTCTCAAGACCTTGTAATTGTGAATTTGTCAATTTCTCTTTGCATTTCTGAGTACTTGTTTTATATATTTTGAAGCTATTGCAACACGCATAAAGATTCATGATTTTAGTGAACTGTTCTTTTTTTCAAATTTAAAAAATTGCCTTTGCCTCATATAACGCTTTTCATACTGAATTCTATTTTGTCTGCTATTAAAAATTTCCAAGCTTGCTCTTTGTCACTGTTTTTTACTAGGAGAACATGCATCCACATAGGACAGATTCATTGGCAAGAGGAGGACATACAGTGAAAAGGTTTTCTTCAGCTGTTCCCTAGCTTTCCAGTTCCCTTTCCTGAGTCAGTGTCACTTTCTGTTCTCTCCTTGTCATGTGTCACATAATTCTTTGCCTCTGCAAACTCAGATAGACATATCTTTCTTTACACAAATAGTGGCATGTTACCTTCAGTCTTGTTTTTTATTAATACATGTGAGAAGTGGTTTCATATCAGTTCTCATATACTTATTCTTTTTAAAAGCTACATTCTAGCCCCATAATTGACTGACCTGGTTTTCTATTGATAAAATGTTGAAATCATTTTTTAGTCTTCTTCTATTACAAACGCTGCTGCTGTCAAGATTCTTATGTATTTATCATTTTGCACATGTGCAGATATTCCTAGATACAGATATTTAGATATCTAGAATATGATTACTAGATTGAAAAGTACATATTTTATATTCTAATAGCTAAGCAGCAAGCTTACTGTTTGCCTGCTATATCTTTACTTGTTTGGGTCCTTTGCTTTAACTTGTCTCTTAATGTCTGAATTTTGTCTTGTTACCTAGTCTGAATATTTTTATTTTTTAACACACGAATTTAAACTCTTCATCTTTGCGATTACCTCTGGTGCAGACAGAATCTCAGATTTCTCACTTTATCTTAGATCCATAGTTCTGTTGTTTGTGTTCTTTGCGCCCCCCCTTTTTTTTTTGGTACCAGGGATTGAACTCAGGACCTTGAGCTTGTGAGGCAGGCGGCAGCACCACTGGGCTAAGTCCCTGGCCCTCTTTGCCTTTTTTAAAACCTTATTTTATTGGGTCAATTGTTTATGTAATTTTTTCCTTCTAATGTTCTTTGAAACTATGTCTGCCCTTTTATTGGTTTACCCTTAAAATTCTAATGACCTTTTATCAATTTTTGTCAACATCAAGAACAATGCTCTCCAGGGCCAGGGATTTAGCTCAGTGGTTCCAGAGCCTGCCTCGCAAGCGCAAGGACCAGAGTTGGATCCCCGTTACCAAAAAAAAAGAACAATGCTGTCTAGTCGAACCTTCTATAGTGCTGTAAATGCTTTGTCTTTATGCTGTCTAAAATGGCAGCCACTGGCTAAGGAGTGCCCAGAATGTTAGTGTGACACATAAACCGAGGTTTCCATGTTTGCTTTTAAAGTCACCACGGTTCAAGAGTACTAGACGGCTCAAGTATAGAGCTACTCTTTTTCCGTCCCTGTGCAAGCTGAATGTTAGCCTGCCTGCACACTCATTCTCTTTCTCCACCTACCCTACCTTCCCATAGAGAAATAAGTCTTTAAGATTTTTGTTCCAGAATACATTGTTTCATATTGTATATCAAAATTAAGTGGGGCACAGTGGGGCATGCCTGTAACATTGTACCAAATTTGTGACAGTGAAGCAGAAGGAAGGATTACAAATTCAATCCCAGCCTGGGTAACTCAATGAGCCCCTGTCTCAAAATTTGGTTTGCAGTACAGGAGATTGACCCCAAGGAGCACTGAACTACATCTCCAGCACTTTTTATTTATTTTTATTTTGAGAAAATGTTTTGCTAAATTGCCCAGGCTGGCCTCAAACTTGAAATCTTCCTGCCTCAGCCCTCCCAGTAGATGAGATTATTGGGGTACATCACTACACCAGCTGGCTCTCCTTAAGTTTTTGTTTAGGGCAATATATATATAGCTTTCCAGGTATCCATGGTGCTTAGAGTAAGGGATTTGTGAAAACAGGAAGGTGGTATGTTTTTTGTTTGTTTGGTTGTGGTACCACAGATCGAACTCGGGTCTTTGTGCTTGCAAGACAGGCAGCAGAACCACTGAGCCAAATCCCTAACCGCAAAACTGGTTCTTTGATCACTGTTAGGACAGAAGAAAAGTATAGGCAAAAGCCAAAGGGTATGTTTTTCTGGAAGAGCTACTTCAGAGTTGTCTCACTGTTTCTTCAAAAAAACAGCCTTGCTCTCAAATCCACACTAACCTAGACTCAGTGATTAATTTCCCGCCTGCCTATCCCCCTGCCTCGCTTCTGCTTTTTGAGGGGAAGAGAGAAGAATGGTCACTGGGCTGCCTGACAGGCTTCATAATACAAATTGTTAGTTGGTCCGAAGGTTGTGGGTTATTGTTAAACTGATTAACATAATACAAATTGTTTCATAGCTCAGAGGTCTCAGTCAAAGTCATTCCAATGAAGAGTTGTATATTATTAATAATTTTTCAGGTGGCAGACGTGTGTACCAGTTCGCATTTTCACAAAAGCATGACTGGCAAACTTCCTACAAATTGAGAACTACAAGCGAGGTGTGATGGATTTAAAGAACATCATCAGTTACAGTTGTAGACACACTTAGGGTGAGTGTATGTCCATTCCAGAAACTCTCTTCCTGTTTCTAAAGTCAACATAAAATTGCCATCGATACTTACGTCAACGTTAACAGTGTGGTAATCTGAATTGGTGGGTAACCACGTGTGATTGCCTTCAGAAAACCCAGCATTGGAACTGTTATCCCACTGCATCGGTGACTTTGAAAGAAGAGTACTCTGTTGAAAGACCAGAAAGAGAAATCAATTTTCAGGTTATTAAAAGTGAAATACATTCTGCTTCTTTATGATTTACTTCATAATCATTTAGTACCCTGTAGTTCCTACCTAACACTGGAGTTCACTAGCAGTCATCCTGAAAAGGACTGATTCAGTACACAAACCAGTTGTGTACTTTTTGGTGGAAAATGGCTAATCGCATCAAGTTTAAGTGAACTCTAATACAATTGTAGTTTTTCCTGCTTCTCCCTAAAAATGAGTAATGGGGGATTTAAAAATGTGCCATTAGCAGTGCTGGTAAATTCAGGAACAATGCCAGGTACCAGTGAGCCTGAATTCTGCCCTACCCATTTCTCCAGTGTGGTTATTCCACATTAGTGCTCGCACACAAACAGCTGACAGAGAAAAAGTTACATTTTAACCAAATATTTGGGAAATTAGGT